ATGGATGAGAAGCAAGGTGGGTTTGTTGTGGTTGTGGGTTTTTGGGACCCAGCAGTACATGACCGTGCCGTCGCCGAGGTTGGTGGTCCACGATTTCAGGCCGGCGTAGGTGAAGGAGTATTTATAGCACCAGTTTTGCGATGCTGTGAAGCTGAAACACTTGGCCATTGGCTGACAATTGATCTTCTGATGGAGATAAAAAAAGTGAGGAATTGGGTGTGATGAGAATTGGAAAACGTGGGAAAATACCCTCTTTTATTGGCACTTAAGGCAAATGCCGGCTAAAAAACGTTGGCAAAAGCTTATTTTCTAATAGTGGTATATCTTTCCTTCTACTTTGTGTAATTTGGTGTGCATATATATATATTTTTTTGTTAAGTAAGGTGAATTTCATAAACCAAAAAGAAATTTATGTACAAAAGAGATTTTCAAGGGATGGTTGATCTTCTGAACCTGAGAAAAAAAATCCTCTATCCCCAAAGCAATGAAAAGCAATGAAGATACAAATTCCAAATGAACAAAGAAGCAAAATGTACATATTTGATCAATTTGGACTTCCAATCAAAAGCAACCGACAACCAGCAACAAGCAATAAGCAATAAGCACAACAACTAGCAACCAACCAAAACATAAGCCAGTAACCAGCAATCAACCAAAACACAAGCCAGCAACTTGCACAGCAACAAGTAAAACTAGCACCCAACAAAAACAGCCACCAAAAAAAAAAACAAAACAACAAGTACCAGTACAAATAGAAACAAAAAGCACCAGCAAATTACTAGCAACTGGTCCTTACAGAACATCAGATCCCATACAGAACAACAAACAACAAAACAACAGGCAGCAGGTAGAAGTACAGCAGGATAGTCACTCCAGCAATATCCACACCAGCACAACAACATGAGATCACAGGACCACAAAGTCACCATCCAACAACTAGCTCAAAGGGGATCAAAAATTGTCATTGACAACCCCCATTGTCTATGTAGCCATATATTAGTTATATTCCTTTTAATGTTATGGCAGGGACTGAGCTTTAGTTTGATATTCTCCATGATCTCTTTGTAGGCAGAAAAAACATCTGCATAGGAATTCCGCAAAACCTTGCAATTTCTTTCCCTTCAAATCAAGTAAACATAAGCATCAAACATTAATCTACCAATCTCTTTGTGGAATCCCTTACCCTTCATGTTGGTAGCAAACCAATTAATGAATTCTGGCCAATTAAGAATTGGCCATTGGACATTCCCTTTCCTCGGGAGTGAATTCCATAATCTGCTGGTGCAATAACATTCAAAGAATAGGTGATTATGAGTCTCCACTTCCTTTCTACACAGCACACATTGAGCCCAATAAAGAATGCCATAGGAAATTAACCTATCTTATGTAGGAGTTACCTACACATTATTTTTTAATGTAATTTATTTTATTATTTTATAAAAATATATCATATGTAAAGTATAATTATTTTAATATCTTATGTAAGTTTAAAATTATTATGATCAATGACTACAGATTAATAGTTTAAAATTATACACATTACCTCCTTCTACTTATATACCAAAGTAAAATGGTTACTTTTATTATCAAAGTTGACGGAGAATATGTTCTATATACCCAAAATATGTTGTAGGTTAACATTGTCTATGTATCTAAAATGTCTTTTATAATATATGGTATAATATCCAAATAGGCATACTATCGGTCCCAGATCAAAAAGTATGTCAGAAAAATATAGGTTTTTTTTGGCCCTAAAGAAAAACCTTACTTGAGGAAAAAAAATGTCAACATATTTAATTGAAATGTATTGATTTGTTGTCATGTTCAATTAATTTTATGGTCAAGAGTAAATCAGAAGAAAAGTTTGATTTTAAAACGTAGGTATTATGATAATTTTTTAATTCTATTAATGACGTCAATTACTTCACTTTAATACATAATTATAAAGAAATAATATGTATAATTTTAAATGTTAATTAGATAAAATGCTTTTATACCAAACTACGAGGAATAAAAAACAATTCAGCCTAATCTTATTATGACATGAATGACTCAAACACATTTGGACGGATATGCTTGCTGGAGTATTGTAATTGAATGTCAAGGAGCGGAACTACAGTACCATAGCCTTTTTTTTTTTTCTGGGTAATTTCAAGAGTAACCATACGAAATGTCAAACAATTTTGCTCATGTGGTATGGGCATGATATATATTTATTGTTCGCTTTAGCAGATCGTTTATGTCTGTTCTTTTCGGGTCACTTAACTTAGCCTTCCTAACGGCATTAAGGTCCAGCGGCTCTCTAAGGTTTTGATATATTACTATCTGATGATGCACAAAAATAATTTTGCACACCACCTGTCAAGTGTAGGTAATAAATGCAGTGAAATCAATGAAAAAATTAAAAAAGACATAATTTATAGTGGTTCGGTCAATTCGACTTACGTCCACTCTTCAATGGTTTCAGTTGCCGGGTATTTTATTAATTCAGAGGTATGGAGAATAGAGATACAAGCTTTGAGAGAATGGAGAATCAAAGAAAAAAGTGGTCTCCGGTCGTCGGTCTGTCCTCTGTAAGTGTTGGTGGGGCGTGACCTTCCTCTCTCGTCTCCTCCAGATTGGAGCTACTTTATAACAGCTAAGAGATCATTCTTGTAGAGATCATGACTTATCCTCAAGGCTACTTTATAGCAGCTAAGAGATCATTTTGGTGGAGATCATGACTTATCCTCAAGGCTACTTTATCGCAGCTAAGAGATCATTCTAGTGGAGATCACCATGACTTATCCTCAAGGTTACTTTATCGCAGCTAAGAGATCATTCTGGTGGAGATCATGACCTATCCTCAACGGAAGGAGGAGGTTGGGGTGGTTTTCATGAAACGTGGTCAAAGCTTGGACCGTTTCCTTCGGTGGTGCAGATAAGCTTCTCATGCTCTCCTCTTGATGACGTGCTAAGCAAAAAGTCTAACTGGTCTTGGACTGTTTTGAGCTTGGTAGATTCAAAATGAGATTGGGCTTCTCAACTGGAGTTGGACTTTAACACATAAATTGGACTATTTGGGCTTAACCCATCATTTGCCCCCCAATGCCCCATGTCCAATGAGACTTGGAGAAGGAGGCATTGACTATATTATTATTATTATTATTATTATTTTTTTTTTAACTTCAAGTCTTTTCCACTTTATTTTGAAGAGGGAGTGGTGGAGGTTGAAGAAAGGGAGGAAATATGCACCATTTTGGAGAACTTGGAGGCTGATTTTGAGCATTCGAATGCTGTTTTGGACAACTTTGGGGCTGTAAATGAAGGGCTGGACAGCGAAGGGGAGATGGGAAGCGCGAGGAGTGGCTTGGGCAGCGAAGGAAAAAAGCTGGGCGTGCGACTGGACAGCCCAGGCGCGCTGGGCGCGCGACTGGGCAGCGCAGGCGCGCAGCTGGGCAGCTCGCGCGCAGTGGGGGCCTGGGCGGCTGCCTGGGCTCTGCTCCTCCAGTCCTGGACAGCCCAGGCACGCTGGGCAGCTGCCTGTGCGCTGGCCTTGCTGTCTTGCACAGCCCAGGTGCGCTGGGCAGCAGCCTGGCTGCTGCTTCTGCTGTCCCGGACAGCTCAGCGCTGGGCAGCTTCAGTTCTACTGCGCTGGGCAGCTTTGGAACGCTGGGCAACAGTATTTTTCCATCAAGGGGCGCTGAAAATCAGTCCAAGGTTCATCAGGGAGAGCTAGGCAGTGGCCTGGGAGCACGGGCTGATCCGATTCTCACTCGAGGCGCTGATTTGGGCCCCTTAGGTGCTGATTTTTGCGCCAAAAATTCTGCTTTGCGCAATTTTGAAGGGCCAGACACCCTTCAAGCTATTGGGCAACTTTGTTTTGACGAGCAACAGCAGTCAGGCACACTTCTAGGCGTTGGGCTAGACATTGCAAGTAGTAAGGAAGCTTTGGGTGCTGCTCTTGATGATCAAGCCCTTCTCCAGGTGCTGGGCGCCTTGGGTGAGCCTGGGGCTACCTCGGGAGAGCCTGCTTGTGATGACAAAAATAATGTTATTCCAAACATTAAAATATCTCACATAATTATCTGGAGAGAGAGAAGTAGGCTGCTTGCGCGAGAGCAAAGACAAAGTTGGAGAACTGCTCGTGAGAGAGCTACACTTTTTGAGACCTAGCTTTTGGCGACCCATGAGGGAGTCTTTAAGCTTGAGGTATAAGCTGCCTGTTTGAGAACAGTGCAGAGGCCAAGCTTTTTTGGCGATCTGTGAGAGAGCCGTTAAACTGGCGATAGGCTGCCTGTTTGAGAACAGTGTAGAGGCTAAGTTTTTTTTGGCGATCCCAAAGAGAGCCGCTAAACTGGAGATAGGCTGCCTGTTTGAGAACAGTGCAGAGGCTAAGTTTTTTTTTTTTTGGCGATCCCAAAGAGAGCCGCTAAACTGGGGATAGGCTGTCTGTTTGAAAACAGTGCAGAGGCCAAAATTTTTTTGGCGACCCGTGAGAGAGCCGCTAAGCTGGAGATAGACTGCTTGATTGAGAACAGTGCAGAGGCCAAGTTTTTTGGCGACCCGTGAGAGAGCCGCTAAACTGGAGATAGGCTGCCTGTTTGAGAACAGTGCAGAGGCCAAGTTTTTTGGCGACCTGTGAAAGAGCCGCTAAATTGGAGATAGGCTGCCTGTTTGAGAACAGTGCAGAGGCAGGTCAAGTTTCTGGTGATTTGTGAGATGATTCACCTTGCCTAAACTTGTTGATTTCCTCAGCATTCATATATCTTTGAGCTTTTGTGAATAGTTCTGGCATGCTCTTTAGTGGTTGCTTTATTACTGAAAAAAGGAATCTGGATGAGCAGAGGCCTCCCAGGAAGGCAGTCATGGCGACTTTGTCATTGGGTTCCTCAATTTGGAGGACTTCCTCGTTAAAATGAGTGAGGTAACTCCTTAGACTCTCATTACGATCCTGTTTTATGCTGAGCAGATGGATGACAGGCTGCTGCTGGCGGCGTCCACTAATGAATTGTGTCACAAAGGATCTGCTCAGTTCAGCGAAGGAGCCTATGGAGGCCGGGGTGAGTTTGGTGAACCATTGTCTCGCTGATCCCTTCAAGGTAATTGGGAATGTCTTACACATAATTTCATCGGGGACGCTGTGTAGTTGCATCATGGTCTTAAAAGTTTCGAGGTGATCAAGTGGGTCTTTCGTACCATCAAAGGTTTCAACGGATGACATT